GGTTAGACCCCCCCTCGCACCCCACAGCCCCTGTAGCTCAGGGGTTAGACCCCCCCTCGCACCCCACAGCCCTTGTAGCTCAGGGGTTAGACGCCCCCCTCGCACCCCACAGTCCCTGTAGCTCGGGGGTTAGACGCCTCGCCTCGCACCCCACAGCCCCTGTAGCTCGGGGGTAGACCCCTCGCCTCGCACCCCACAGCCCCTGTGGCTCGGGGGTTAGACCCCTCGCCTCGCACCCCACAGCCCCTGTGGCTCAGGGGTTAGACCCCTCGCCTTGCCATGGAGAGGACCTGGGTTCGATTCCCGGGCGGGTCAAAACCTTAGGCAATTTTCCTTACCCCCACACACACACACACACTCCACTGTTTAACAGCAGTCAGTAGGGACCTGGTTGTTAGTCGATTGGTGGATTGCTTTTCTGGAGGTAATACCCCACGGCTGTTTGTGGGGACGTCGCTGGGGGCGCAATTGGCTGCCGCGTTTCGCCCACAAAACACACAGTCACTACACTTGACAGCATGTCCTGTGAAGCGCTTTGAGACGTCTCGAAGACGTGACGAGGCGCTGTGTCAAACGCCGGGATTATTATTATTATTATCCAGTCACATGCAGCTGGTGAGGGCGTATCTGCTTGACTTTGGCTCTGGATGATTTGCTTCTGGTGCGAGACGATTATTTCACCAGTTTGTGTCTGAGTCCCTACGTGACTCACACAGACAGTTCGGAGAAAGTATGTTACATACATAGCACATAGCCTAAAGGACACACACACACACACACACACACGCTCTAGACGCATGTGTTGGCGGTTCTGGGCTTGTCTTAGACAGAAATGCACAGAGTTTCACTCCCTGAGTACACACAATATCAGAATGCCCTGCGTTAATAATCCTCACGTTCGACACAGCGCCTTATCGCGTCTCCGAGACGTCTCAAAGCGTTCCCCCCTTTACCCCATCCCTCGTCAAACCCCACTGGCTTCCCTTAAACAGAGCGGATCGATTTCAAGACCCTCACTCTTGCCTTTAAATCCCTTCGCCCCCGAACTCCCCCCACACTAGCTCCGCAAAACCCCCTCTCTCTCTCTCTCTCCACCTCTACCCCCCCCAACCCCCCTCCCCCTGGTTTAGAGTCGTGCTCCCCCACTGTCGAGCGAGGGCCCGGGGTGATGGGGCGCAAGTTGTTGTTGTTCTGGGCTGACACCGTGTGTCTCTCTCTCTCTCCCACAGGGTGAGACAGTTCCTTTACAACAAAGAAGCTTCTCCATCAAAGATTCCCAGCGACCGGCTCGACCCGTAGGTAAATCCGCCAAACGAGAAGTTAAACACTCTCTCCCTCTCTCTGTCTCTCTTTCTCAGTCTCTCGGCAGGAAAAAAACACAGTCACTACATTGTGAAGCGCTTTGAGACGTTTCCAATTTGCGAACCCGTAGAAATGACCCCGGGGGGGGGGGGGGGGGGAGAGGGGTGGGGGGGGGAGGAGAGGGGGAAACGGGGGAGAAAATTAGCCCAACGTTTTTTATAATTGAATACTCGTGCCTTTAATTGAGTTGCGTGTGAGTGCGTGTGCGCGTGTGAGTGCGTGCGTGTGTGAGTGTCTCCGTGCGTGTGAGTGCGTGCGTGTGCGTGTGTGAGTGCGTGCGTGCGTGAGTCCGTGTGTGCATGTGTGGGGTGGTGGTTCTCTCTATCCTTCCTCAATCGAGACAGAGAGACAAGGCTTGGCTGACATTTACACACAGCCCAAGCTTATAAGAGCCGTTTTAAGCCGCGGACAGAGGTCCTCTTTGATGAGGGTCAATTTTGGCCACAAGAGGCATTCTTGTGGAGTCCCTGTAGCTCAGGGGTTAGACCCCTCGCCCCGCACCCCACAGTCCCTGTAGCTCAGGGGTTAGACCCCTCGCCCCCCACCCCACAGCCCCTGTAGCTCAGGGGTTAGACCCCTCGCCTCTCACCCCACAGTCCCTGTAGCTCAGGGGTTAGACCCCTCCGCTTGCACCCCACAGCCCCTGTGGCTCAGGGGTTAGACCCCTTGCCTCGCAAGCCAGAGGCCCTGGGTTCGATTCCCGGGTGGGTGGGGCGAAACCTTAGGCAAGTTTCCTTACTCCCCCCACACCCCCTACCCCCACCCCCACAAACACACTCACACATGCGCCTCTGTTTACAGCAGTCAGTAGGAAACCGCTTGTTAGTCGATTGGCTTTTCCGGGGGTAATCCTTCAAAAAGTAATAATAATTTGGTCACTCAATCCCCGGTTGTGGGGATGTCGCTGAGTGCAATTTCGCCCACAAAACGCACAGCCTCCACCTGACGGTGTATCCCGTGAAGCGCTTTGAGACTTCTCGAAGACGCGATGAGCCGCTGGGCCAAGCGCCAGGATGATTATTAGCAGTAGCATTATTATTCCGGCCATTGATGGGTTAAATCTTGGCGCGCGCACACACACAGGCGGAGAAAGGCTGAAGGTCACAGCTGTTTTCAAGAGCGAGAGAATTTGACGTTCCACAATCACTTGTTCGACAATCGGGTCTAAGTTATCGGGAAAAGCAGTTATTGGCGCAAAACAGAGGCGGGGAGGGAAAGAATTCACTTGAAATCGAGGACAGCTATATATAGAGAGGGCGTGAGGGGCATTGTGTGTGTGTGTGTGCGTGTGCGTGCGTGTATTTTTACTGCAAGAAAAAAAGTGTTTCAAAAAAAACCTTTGCAGAGTGAGAGAGCTCTGGACATTGGACAATGCTGAGATACAGCTCAACGCCAAACTACATCCAACTCCACCACTATCTCACACACCCACCCACCCACCCACCCACACACCTCCCCTACCCTCACCCTTTCTCCTACGCACATCACACCCCCCACCCCCCCACACACACGCACCCCCACCCCCGGCTCCATTTCTCCCTCCCGCCCCCACTCCGCCATCGGAGGTCGGCGTTCAGCCTCTCTCACTCTTAGGCACTTGGTCTCCTCGTCTCGCTTGGCCTCTTCAAGGCACATCTCGAGACCCTCCTTGCCTTTGGTCACCCTCCTACCCCCCAACCACCCCCCCACCCCACTCTCCAACCCCTCCTGATCCCAACCCTCAGCTCAGGGGGAAAACCCTAACTCTCCAGTGCCTCGGGAACTGTGTTGTCGTTGAAAACGCCTCTTCAACCGGCAGTTGATTGTGTCGGTGACAATGGCCGCGAGTGTTAGACATTCTTAGATAATGGGTTCGGCTGAGGTTAGAAAGGACAGTGGAGAAAACAATGAGGGGGAGAGCGCGAGAGAGAGAGAGACGGGGAGAGAGAGACAGAGATGGAGAGAGAGAGAAGTGGGGGAGACACAGAGAGCGCGGGGGTGGAGGGGAGAGAGAGGGAGAGACATATGTGAGAGAGGGGTCAGACAGGCGGACATTTCTCCTGGTCTTATGCTGCCTCTTTCACGCGTGTGTGTGTGTATGTGTGTATGTGTCTCTCGACACAATCCCTCCAAAAATAAAATAAAAACAATCATAATTCGGTCACTTCAAACCCACGGCTGTTTGTGGGGACGTCGCTGGGGGCGCCATTGGCTGCTACGTTTCGCCCACAAGACCCACAGTCACTACCCTTTTACAGCGTGTATTCTGTGAAGCGCTTTGAGACGCTTCGAAGACGTGATAAGGCGCTGTCTCGAACGCGAGGATTATTATTATTATTAGCACTGAACGTCTCGTAGCGTAACAGGAACGCAGCAGCTGAGGAGAAGAGGAAGTGAATCCTGATCACTGCGCAGTTTTGCGTCCCCAAAAAATTCTTAAAAACGTCTCGTAATTTTGGAACGAAAACCGTACTTTTTCTTCCCCGAGCGCGAGCGCGGGGCGCGTCCGCGAGGGGGTGCGGGCGCGTGAGCACCTGTTGAGGGTGTGCGAGCGAGAACGTGTGTGTGTGTGTGTGTGAGTATGTGAGAGTGAGTGTGTGTGAGTTGTGTCTGCAGACGAGTGTGCGTGTGTGAGCGTGTTTGTGCGTGTGTGTGTGCAAGCACATGTGCACGTGGACACGAGTGTGAGCAAATTCCCACATTATTGGGACTTTAGTTAATGTCTCTCCCTCTCTCTCTCTCCCCCTCTTTCTCCCTCACCCTCTCTCCCTCCCTCTCTCTCTCTCTCTCTCCATCCCTCCCTCTCTCTCTCCCCTGGAACAGAATTAGCCAAACCAGCGCAGTGTAAGGTGAGGCCCGAGGTCCAGGAGATCACACGGGCAATGATAGACAACACATCCGCCAGTTTCCTGATCTGGCCGTCCTGTGTGGAGGTTCAGCGCTGCTCCGGCTGCTGCAACACAAAGATCTATCAATGCCAACCCTCCGTTCAACAGACACGTCGAGTACTGGTGAGCAGAGCTCTGGGTCGAGAGCTTCTCTCTCTCTCTCTCTATCTATCTCTCGCCCCACAAACCCCCCCACCCACCCACCCCTCCCCGAGCGAGCGAGCGAGAGGACCCGGGTTCGATTCCGCTTTACAGTGGAATTTACACTTTACATTCGACTACACTTTGCAGTGTGTGTCCAGTCAAATATGTCGGGACGTCCCTTCACTCCCTGCCACCTCCCTCCCCTCGACCGGCACCGACCGGCCTCCTGCTCGACCCTCGCGCGCTCCCCCTCTCCCCTCTTTCAAGTCCCGCCTGAAAACCGTCCTGTTCGACCGTCCAGCGCTCCGAGGCGCCGCCCTGCGCGGAGGGCGCTGTGTGAGCACAGGCTGTGGTGGTCGGAGCACTTTGAGGCGTCCGGTCGAACGCGAGGCTTTATTAATCACAATATCGGCCTTTTTTTTTAGATCATTAAGAAGAACCTTCGGAGAAGAAAGCTGGAGAGCAGCAAGATTGAGGTGATTCTCGTCGATCACGTGGAATGTCAGTGTGTGAGGATCTCAGACTCCAAATTCATGAAAGGTATCTCACTGCCCTACTGTTGGGGGTTGGGAGGTGTGGGGTGGAGGGGCGGGGGGTGGGCAGCAGAGAGAGACATGGCTTGTGGGGGGTGGGGGGAGCAGCCCAGACTGTGCGTTGGGGGGTAACTGTTGGAGTCTAACCAGCTAAACCCACATTGAGAGAGAGAGTGAGAGAGAGAGCGCTATTATTATTATTATTAATTATTATTATTATAACAAGGATCTCTCTCTCTCCTCAGCTGAGCCCAGGTTCAGGGAAGTGTTGGTTCCCAGGAAAGACCACCACCAGCAACATCACAGGAAACTCCGCAAATACAAACAGCTTCCGACCACTCGCAAGGAGTTGATGTTCACATAGAAATGTCTCGGAAACGACTGAGGTACAGGAACCTCCGGCCTGAGAACCGCTCGATAGCCAGACGGACATTAAAGCTCTCGCGAGACGCTGTTTGGAAAAGACAAGGGGGTTTCTCTCTCTCTCTCTCTCCCCCCACCCCAGTGTCCTCCCCTCACCTCACCTCCCCTCTTCCCCCCCCCCCTTCACCCGACCCCAGAATAAAACTGTTTGACTGATCGACTGTTACGTCAATGGGACTGCCAAAGAAACAGTCACTACGCTCGGCGGGAACACCTAGGCCGAACAAAGAAGCTCGGGGGAGGGGCTTTGACCGTGTAAAAAAAAAAGACACCGTTTAAGTGAACGTCTCGCGACGGAACGTTGATAAAGCACCTTTCTTCCCCTCACCCCCACCCTCTCCCCCCTCTCTCTCTGGCGGTATTCTGCGGGGGTTTGGGGAGAATTCGGAGGCAACGAGACGGTGCTGGGACAGACGGACAGATGGACTGTCAGACGTTAAGCGGGAAGAAAGGGGCGAGAGAGCGAGCGAAAAAGAGCGCGAGAGAGAGAGAGAGAGAGAGAAAATGAGAAGCTGCACTAAAGACTGAACGTTTTTACCCCAAATTCCCCCGATTCCCCCCTCCCCGCCCCCCAATGTTTTTAAAGTGACCACTGGATACGAGGGAGAAGGAACGGTTTCGCTCGTGTCCGCGCAGCCATGTGTGTGTGTTGGCCGGACCGTTCCAAACATCCCTCTCTCTTTTTTGCACGTTTTTTTAAAAAAAAGTTATTATTGTTGTTGTTGTTGTTGCTGATGTTGTTTGTGTCCTTGTTTTTTTTACCATTATTATTGTTGTTATTATTATTATTGTTGTTGTTGTGTATATTCTGGGCTGAAATTGCGATGTTTAATAGGTGCGATCGGGTTGTTTGTAAGTGAGGAGGGAGTGAGGAAGGAGAGAGGGAGTGAGGAGGGAAGGAGGGAGTGAGGAGGGAGGGAGGGCAGTGACTGGATTTGGAGGTCGGATGGAGAGAGAGATGTGCCTAATGGACACAGATCCACATATGAGACAGAGACCCACACAGAGACAGACACAGAGACTGACACCCACTCAACCCTCTTGGCCGCACTCATCGGTGACCTCTAACCCGAGGTCTACCTCACACATTCGCAATTCCAGCCCCTCTCTCCCTCCATCCTCCCTCTCTCTCCGCCTCCCCTTCCCTCCCCTTCCCTCCCTCCCCATCTTCAGGTCAGGCCTGAAGACTTTCCTCTTCGACCGCGCGTACGGTCACCTCCCCCACCCGCTTGGACCTCGTGCTCCGCCATTGTCGGAGGTGGTGGGTGGGGGGTTGCGGGCAGCGGTTGTGCAAATGCCAGTTGTTGTTGTGTAAAGGCAGTCTGGCAGAGCTGTCTGTCTCTGTCATCCTGTGGCCCGAGTGAGTGAGTGAGTGAGTGAGTGGGGGGGGGTGTGGGTGGGTGATGGGTGTGTGGGTGATTCTCACAGTAGCACATGTATAATTGTAGGCATTTTCCTTCGTGTCCCATAGTTAGGATCTGTCTGGGACTCAGACACTCTCCCCCCCCCTCTCTCTCCCCCCCCCTCTCTCTCCCCCCCCCTCTCTCTCTCCCCCCCCCCCCCCCTCTGTCTCTCTCTCTCTCTATATATATATGTGTACAAACCAGCTCTTTCTTCACACTTTGCGGACCAGAAAAACTTTTTTATTCCCCCTTTCGCCCCCATCCTCGCGTCGCTCTCTACTACTGAATTTGAGCATTTTCCACAACTGCGCTCTCTCTCTCTCTCTTTCTCTCTCTTCACATTCTGTCCATCTGTCTGTCTGGTTTTCTCTCTCTCTCTCTCTCTACCCAACTACCTTTCTCTCTGCCTTTCTCTCTCACTTTCCCTCTCTCCCTCTCTCTACTTCCGGTCTTTCTCTCTGTCCCTTGACTCACTCTCTTCACTCTGACACTCACTCACTCACTCACTCACTCACTCTCTCTCGCTCCCTCCCTCCCTCCCTCCCTCCCTCCCTCTCACTCTCTCTCTCCCTTCGCTCTCATACACTCACTCTCTCTCTCTCTCCGCCCGACTGTCTGTGTATTTGTGACCTCGTCGTTGTTTTAAATATTGTACGTTCCGAGTTAAGCAATTTTGAAATACTATTTATATATTTAAGAATATAATGAAAAAAAATCTATTAAGCGTCCCTTTTACATGATAAATCAACCTTTCTGTGAAACACGTGCGTGTCTGTGAGTGTTGTCTCTGTCAAACACGGTCATGTGCACACACGCATGTGACTTCCGTGAACGTCTTCCCACGAAAGAGAGCAATTGCACGTTCAGATGTTTTTATTACCACAAAGCAGTGGTTAGCGCTCTCTCTCTCTCTCTCTTGCTATCTCGCCTCCGAGTCAGAAGTTTGCGAGTTCAAGCCCCGCGTCGAGGACTTTGGGCTCACAGTCCAGGCCGACATTCCAGTGCAGCGTTGGGGGGGGGGGGGGGGGGAGAGAGAGAGGGAGAGAGAGAGAGAGCGCTACCACTGAGTCAGGTTACCTGACCCATTTGAGGTCTGAGCAGGAAGAAGTGGGGAGAACAGCTTCTCGTTGCAGCTAACGTCATCTCCATGTGACATTCCTGACCGGCCTCGGAACGGGGTGGGGGGGGGGGGGAGGGGTAGGGGTAGGGGGGGGAAGAAGGGGGGAATGGGGTGTTGAGTAGAGAGTGGGGAGCGCAGGGTGTGTTTTGGGGGGAATAGAGTAAAGTTCAGCATCTCCCAACACTGCGGTGTCCGGCCAGCGCAGCGCACAGGACAAACCCACTCACTGTGGAGCCGTGCAGCTCAGGGGTTAGACCCCTCGCCTCGTGAACGAGAGGACCCGGGTTCGATTCCCAGGCAGAGGGTGAAACCTTGGGCAGGTTTCCTTACTCCCCTCCTCCCCGCCCGCCCCCCAACACACAGACACACACACACACACAGACACACAGACACACACACACACACACAGACACACACACAGACACACACACACAGACACACACACACGCCTCTGTTTACCAACAGTCAGTAGGAACCCGGTTATTAGTCGATTGGCCGATGGCTTTTCCGGGGGTAATAACCCCTTCAAAAAATAATAACAAGGTCGCTCAATCCACGACTGTTTGTGGGGACATTGCTGTGCGAAATTGGCTGCCGCGTTTTGCCCTCCAAACAACACACGGTCACTACACGCGTGTGTCCTGTGAAGCGCTTTGAGACGTCTCGAAGACGTGATAAGGCACTGGTCAAATGCGAGGATTAGTATACAAGATCTCAAACCCACAAGGTTCTGAGCTGGAGGTGAGACAGGAACGGACACAGACAAATCGAGAAAACTCTCCAATAATTCACATCAATTAACGCCTGACAATCAAATAAATGATGGATATCAGTCACTAAATGAATAATGCATTGTAACTGCTAACTGCTGAATAATTCATTGCTGTTTGTTATACTCGATTGGTGTCTGTGACAGATTTATTGTCTCTCCCACTGCATAGTTAGGCTTTCTGTTCATTCACACCAACAGGAAAACCAGAGCAAGTCACCACTCGTTTGGCTCCAGGACTCTAAGATAACATAAATAATCACTGCGGCATTTTAATGCAACACCTTATCGCGTCACTGAAATGCCTCAAAGCGCCTCACAGGATTTGTATTGTTAGAAAAAGTTAGGTATGGGGCAAGAGGGACCAGTGGGGACTAGTTGGGGTAAGAGCGGGGGGAGTGGGGACTAGTTGGGGTAAGAGCGGGGGGAGTGGGGACTAGTTGGGGTAAGAGTGGGGACTAGTTGGGGTAAGAGTGGGGGAGTGGGGACTAGTTGGGGTAAGAGCGGGGGAGTGGGGACTAGTTGGGGTAAGAGCGGGGGGAGTAGGGCTAATTGGGGTAAGAGCGGGGGGAGTGGGGCTAATCAGTAGCTCTTTTAAAGAGCCGGCACGGGCTCAATGGATCAAACGGTCTCCTTCTGTGCTCTAAGACTCTATCTTTAATGTCCACCTGAACAGGTACAATTGGGACCAATTGGGTTTAATATAATAATATTATTAATAATAATCTTTGTATTTGATACAAGGCCTTTCACGTCAAGACGTCTCGAAGGCGTGATAAGGCGCTGTATCAAACGCAAGGCTTATTATTATTATTATTATTAATATGAAATACCGGGAAGGGTTGGAGCTGTTTTGTGATGAGACCTGATAGGAGGGAAGTGTTTGCTGTGAGTCTGTGGCTTTTTTTGGCAGGAAAATGGCAGGAAATGATTGGACACAAACAACATTCTTGTGAGTCATCTACACAACACAGTTGGACCTGGGGTCAGTCCTGTCCAGACAGAGACACCGCCACAGACACCAGTCAGTAAACACACCACACGCACAGCCACACAACAACAACAACAACAGCAACAGGCTGATATGGGGTTAGCGGGATTTGAAGGTGCGGAGGGAGGGGGAGAGGTGGAGGGGTTTCGTGGGGCGTAGTGGCTGAAGGTACGGCCACCGATGGTGGAGCAGAAGGGGATGAGGGGTAGACAGGAGTTGGGGGGTAAGGAGGTCGGAGAGGTGGGGAGGTGACAGGGACTTGAGGGGGGTCTTGAAATGGAGCTCGCGCGAGCACACAGACACACACGCAAAAACACACAAAGTTCATAGTAACACACGGCCACATGCACAATGTTCATAGCAACATACGGACACACGCGCACGCACACATAAAAACACACAAAGTTCATAGTAACACGCGGACACGCGCACACACGCGCACGCACACATAAAAACACACAAAGTTCATAGTAACACACGGAGGCACTCGCACACGCTTACACATACTGCAACACAGACACCCTGCACACACGCTATCCCACCATAGTCACTCACGCTCACACGCACAGACACACACACACACAGTGAATCGAGCACGTCAATAAATACACCGACGTTAAAGATCTCCTGCGACCTTGTTCCGAAAAGAGGAGGGAGTTTCTCTCTCTGTCTCTCCCGGTGTCCCAGGCCGACAAACCCCTAAATAAACTTGGTGGCTCGTTCCGCAGCAGTTTGTGGGACGTCGCTGTGCGCAAACTGTCTCCCGCGTTTCACGAAGCCATTGCACTGTTCATCGCTTCCCGAC